TACTGTTGTCTTCTGTTTGAGCTTAGATAAATTATACTTTCCTTTTTTTGCAAATAGGGAAACATGATTCACCTCGTCGCCATTGTGACCTTTCTGTGTATAGTATAAAACACTTCTTTTGGAAGAGTGTTCTATACAGTGCGACAGAAATATTTCTATCGCGCTATAAAAAACGAGTTTCTTTAAATTTTCAAAAATATTTGAGCAGTCACTACCCATAGAACATGGGATATCTAGGGATGAGGAGAAGAGTGGAACCAACAATGCGACAACAACAACAAGGAGATGAACAAAGGGTAGACAATCTTTAAGTTAAAATTTACCAACACTATGATAATGATATAGAATTGTTTGTATTTGCGGCTGCCTTATGCAAAGTATGAGATTATTTCTATGTGTATCCTATAAAATGTAATGTAACAGATTTTGTATATGTGCACATGAAATGGATTAACGAAAATAAGTGTATATAATGTTGTGATTTGTATGTGTGTGAAGCTGGGACTGCACTACAAGCAGTGCCTCCTTTTGCTTCCACAGAGAATAAACATCATCGAAATGCCTCTAGACTAATGATGGTCAGTGATAATACTCCCGTTGTAGCACTCTTCAGTGGATCATCAATGGGTCAAGCGGTCTGTGATGATAGTTATCACATATGGGTCCAGATGCCCATCTGTGATAGTCGTGTCATCACTGACCCCAAGACACTAATGGGCCAGAAGCGCATCAGTGATCATGCAACTTAGCCGGCCAGTGTTGTTCGGATCTGTAGTATTTCTCCTTAGACAGAGTTGACCTAGTTGTGTAAACCCTAGGACCCCCTGGTATGCTATATAAACCGAGGGTCGGGCTCGTGGTAGAACAAGATCTTACAGACTAGAACCTCTCTGCACTTTGTATACACCCTAACGCAATAAAGCAAAGAGCAGGACGCGGGATATATTCCATCATGAGAGCTCGAAACTGGTTTAAACCCTTGTCTCTATTACCATCTCACCAAGTAGCCTAGCTAAGGATACCCTATTGAGGGATCTACCGGATTTAGCTCCGACAGTAATGTAGGAGGCACTCATGCACGTTCGTGAGAGCCGGGGAAGGCTCCTTATTCACGGTGACTGGGCGGCAATGCCTCCTTCTTGATGTGGTGGAGAGGCGACGAGGGTGGCGCCAAACTACGATCACGGAGTGACCGCTTGAGCAAGAGCTCCAGGTACACCAGATACTCCTCATTCGTCGCGATGACCTCCGTGGGCGGCTATGACTGCTCCTCCTTGTCGCCGGAGGAGAGCACAATCTCATCCTTATCCGTTGCGACAGTGGAGGAGGAAGATCCCAAAGAACGTGGGCAGCACCACGATCCGGAGGGAGAGGTGGATCCACCAGTCGATGCTGAGAACCAGTCGCTCTGTTCAGACTTGCCCATCATCTAGGAGAGGAGAGGAGCGACGACAACGGTGAGCGTAGAGGAGAGGAGCAAGCAGTGGAGTGTGGGTAAGAGAGGAGATGCTTTTTGGCCGGCCCCGGAGCACTACTTAAATAGTCGGGGCAAGCGGACAAACGCCGAGGCACAACGGTCGGAATAGGCTTCTCGGTCCCCGTTTCCACATCGAAGCGCCCCCCCGGCCTTTCACGTCGCTCCGACCGACAACGTCCCGTCGCATCCGCTCTGGAGCGGCTGACCGTCATGAATGCACGGTAAACATTTGAGAGCGGGCTGCGCGGCGATAATACTGGATGGGACCGCGTTGTCGTGTGCGTACGTGGCACTAGTTCGGACACCCGCAAACCTCCCTTGGCTTTGTGCCGGTTTGCAGGAACTCAAACATGCGAAGGTGTCGACAGACATACGCAGCATTAGATGGCGAAAATAGTCTAGGCACCATGGTCACAGACATTTGCAGACGGTGTGCGGCACGGCCTTGGAGAGCAAATTTGGTTCACTGGTGCACAACAAAAGTGTCACCAGGACAGGGAAGAAAACCAGTAGTACTCTGTTTTAGGCTTCCACAGCACGAGACGCGTAGAGCGAGTTTTCCTTTCCTTTCCGGAGAAGGATTCAAACCGCCGCCACAGAACGCAACCAAAAAATTACTGCCGTGCTACGTATGCCACCCACGGATCCACCCACCGGTAAAAACTTTCCATGAACGGTAGCCCCCAACGGCTAGTTCCCGTGCCCGGACTCCCGATCGATCCCAGCCGTCGGATCTGCCGACCGTTGGAGGCCGGTCCGAAATAAATCCCCAGCCTCCTCCTGCCCCGTCCTCCACACCAGCCCCCGCCCCTCCCCGCCCCCCTCCAATCCAATCCCCAACCCCAACCCCAACCCGACGAGCGCCGCCGCCGCAGGACGAGTCGGAGGCCGCCGCCCCGCCCTGTTCCGCTCGGGAGCTCGCCGGAGTAGCAGCGCCTCGCCGGTTCTCGGGGTCTTAGAACGGAGC